TAATAAAAAGTGGTGTAGTGGGGACAACAGACGGCTTGTGTGTGATGTATTATTGGCATTTTTCTTTCAAATTACCATTTTCTTGCTGCTTTGGGAGAAAGCCATGATTTTGCTGTGATTAGTACACTTTTAACAATCTGGAATAGATTCCTGATCTTATTCATGTGACTAGTTCAATGCCCATTTTTACGTTTTAGTGCAAACCCCTACATATGTGCCTGCAATACCACAAAAATAAGATGTTTTTTTGTGGAAATTTTTATAAAATTTGGATACTGATCAAATATTTTTAGAAGTGGAGAATTAATGTGGCTTGACCATGTAAATGATTATTTTTAATGAAAAAGATTTTAGTATTCATCATTCTTTCTCTCTTCCTGATCTGTGTATTGCTTTGTGCTAATCTTAAATAATGGATCCATATCAAAGTTAATAAATTAGTAACTGTTAATGGTGTTTGGGTAACAGTAAGTAACCAAATGACACTCTGTTGACACTGACTTTTTATGTGTTCCAATAATACATTTTGAGTTTTAAAGATAAGACAAAGCAAAATAGTCTTGGCAAGTATTTTAATCCTTCACAGCTCATGGACAATGGTTTTGTTTCAATCCAAGGATCCTGCTTTAAATACGCTTCCCTTTATGTAGTCCTAAGCCCCAGACTTTGAGATCCATGTCTTTCTCAGAATCTGCATTTTCTGGCTCTATTCAGCTAATGCACCATGTTGGGCTGCATCAGTCATGCCATGTTATGAAACCTAACGAGATGTGACTGATGCAGGCTGACATGATGTGTCACAAAGCAACATATCAGATCACAAACTTGAAAGAAAAGAAAACAAACTTTTTTTTTTTTCCTTATCAAAGCCTAAATTAATGAAGCAGCATATATTTTTTTAAAAGGTGGACTAGTTTCAAACCCTAAGAGGTTTTTCCCACACAAAATTTCCCCGTCCTAACCAGAAAATGCCTCCCATCCACACTCCTTGCTCTCTCCAAGGTATAGTCAAAGCTAGAGAAGATGATGAGCCTTGGTCATTTCATCACTGCTGCCATGGTGGGTCTGATCCTAGAAGGTTTAGATAACGTTCAGAGGAGTGGTTTCCGCAGGTGCTGGAGGTAATCACCTTTCATGGGGAAATCAGCACCTTCTAAACACATTCTTTGAATCCAGCCACCTTTATCATTTTAGCTATTTTTTTTTAATTACTATTTTCTGCTGTTCCATTTCATTAGACTGTCAGCTTCCACCTGGAGCACATGCTCAGTCACAGGCTTCATAGAACATTACTCCAGAGCAGGATTATTTCAGCTGCAAACAATACATTGTCTTCCATAGTCTGTGCACCATAGTTTGTCCCCCCTCGCTGGCCCACCTTCAGTCTAATCCTCCTTACTACAAATGCAATGCATTACACATGATCTCCTGAACTATCAGGAATATTTCTTCTTTTTTTTTTTTTTTTTTTTTTCCTGAAGGGCTTTCATATAATTTTATTGGAAGATATAGAGTGGGTAAAATATATATGAAGTATAGCTGGCTAAGAGAGAACTTTCCAACCACTGCTAGATGAAACATTATGAATTTATTGCCAACTTATCTGGGAAGGGTTATTTTAAGAGCCTAGTACCCACAAGAAGTTTTTGAGCTAAAACTAATGGGTGGGATACCTAAGAGAAATAGGCATTTTCCTTCACCCCTTAGTTACAAGCAAATTGCAGATATTGTTATCTTTGCAAGTGAGAATAATCTCTAGTTTTTGTACTACTTCTGCTGTAAACAATGTACCACTTGCTTTCCTATGACCCTCACTCTGTATACATATTTATATATTATTCATACCAGATTAAAAATGAATGTGCTCTTTACCACAGTTGTACTGCACAGTGACAATACAAATTAACTTATTGTGTACTTACTTTTCACAAGGCAGTGATGTGAAATTTTGATGGCCTGAAAAGTAAGTTGTGGGGGAGGCAATGCAGAACTGAATCCTTGTAGGTGCATTTTATATTGTCTGATTTATTAAACTGCATTGATTTAATAAATGACATTCTCTGTATGGAATTGCATGGGTCTGAACTTTCTTCAGTGATGGGCAGGAAGAGTTTGCTTTTAGTCTGGTGTGTGTGAGGTGGTAAGCTCCATCCATGTTTTGTGGATTCCTCATTTAGAATTTGTTCTTTGATGGAAAGAATTAGGATGGCCGTTTGATGATAGCTATGTGTGGGCAAAGCAGAGCTGCTTGATGAGATCTCACACTGTTGGCTAGTGGTACCAATTCTACCTAAAACTTTCCAGCGTATTTCTGTGCTAAATGATGCTTGAGGGCTTCAGAGGGTGGCTCACAGGATGATGTGCGTGCTCACTCCCAGAGTGCCACTGCTCTGTCTGTGCTCCCTGTACATTGCTCTGCGTGCAGTTACCAGTAGCATTATTATATCACCAGTCTCTGGCCATTGCAGCACACAAGACTAAATAAACAGGATATCTTTTTGCTTCTTCCATAGCATCAATAAAACCAGAGTAAATAAGGCTGGTGGATAAGTTGTACCATTTGTCACAACTTAGCAGGGACGTTAGCAAGGGAATCAGTTGTCAGATGGTCAAATGGAACACTGGGAATACTGAAAGGGAGCTACTGCTGCTGGTGTAGTCTCCTATTTCACTACATGTGAGTCACAGGCCTCTGTCCTTTGAAGAAAGGGGAAATATATTCTTCATAGAGCAGGTCTCCTTTCCCTTTACCCAACATTTTGGCCAAGGCATTTTGGCACCTCCCCAAGCAGAATATGCAACAGAGCCCCAGGGAATGCCCATCAGAGGCATTACACAGGAGGGATGAAAAGGAGAAGGAAAGAAAGAGTCCAGAACCCAGCTATAAATTCTGGTGAGTTTATCCATCTCTGACAAACAACGGGGAAGATGTAACAGTTTTTTCAGATTTTTTTTTTTCCTGAGTTTTTCAAATAACCCTAGATTTTCTGAAACAATGAAAACCAGTCTTTCTCTGGACTTTCTTCATACCCAGACAGTTTTGAGACTGCTTCCAGTTTTCAAAGCTATTATATTCAAAATATTTCAAGCATATTTGTGCTCCTGTATTTATTTTAGGACTGAATCTAAGAGCCACTAGGGACATCTTCAGTCTCTTTGTTGACTGTTTCCACCTATCTTCCAGATGATTTTTTTTTATAAAAGTCCAATCAAATTTCTGTAACATTATCTATGTAGGTTTCTCCCATTGCTATTGCTATGGAATTTTCTACTGCAATCTGACTTTGTAATGATTAGCAGCTTACAGATGTAATTTCTTTTTCCTTATGAAGTTGTTGAGGAAAATGTCTTCCTTTATCCCAGGAGAGAACTAGAACATCAGCCCACACTCCATCCCAAGATTTATGGGTTAGGGGCCTTGTGGGGGCGGTCACACTTCTGGCAGTCTCCAACTTGTAAAAGCAAAGGGTGGAGGGGAGCTTTGCATCCTTGAGAAAGGAAACATGCCTGCAGTCCTGTGGCATGGGGCTTAAGTGACTGTGGACTGGACTTAATGCTTCTTTCCCCCATGTAGCAAGCAGTACGTTTTGGGGGACTCAGCCTTCAAGTGTTAGTTTTGTTGTTACAGTAAAAGTTGCAAATTATTTGTGCCACACAGAGCAGTAATGTTGGCTCAGGTGAATTTACTCTGCTAGAGATGCTCATACTGGTGTGTCAGCAACAGCGCAAGGTTAAACCCAGGAGTTACCCAGGTTCCCGTCTCTGCTCTCCCACTCCAAGTAACATCAGACCAGTGCACAACAAACATCTATTTACTTATTTGTTAAATTCCCACCTAAATTTGGGGTGAGATGGTCCCAGCCCCTTCCCACATAGTGGAAAGCATTGTCCTCCTCTCCAGCTACTCCAGTGTCTAGTTCATGCCCACTACGTAGTACCACAACAGCAAAGGAAAATGTGCTCTTCAAATGTGGAGATAGGGTATTGTTTTTCACTTATCCTGGCTTTATGTAGATGGTCTGGCACATTTATTTATTCATTTATTTGAGCAAATTAAAGCAAGCTAAGCACATTTGACCTCAGATGGTACTGGTTTAAGTTAATTTGAGAGACAAAGCTCATAAAGTTCCAGTAAAACACATCAACAACTTCCCAGCATAGGTTGAAATGTGATTGCTGAAATATAACCTCCAAAACCAGATACAGCATGGAGATTCAAAGTCACAATAATCTGAAAAATATGTGAGAGTATACTGATAGCCTTACTGGGGAGTGATATCTTTCATTCATGCCTTCCTTTTGCAATTGGTTGCTGTTTCACCTACAAGTGCATCTATCAGATTTTGTGCATTAACATTCCTTCTCTAATCTAGCTTGGACATTTTATTTTAAAGCTGGTGATAACCTTGGGCCCTGGTCCAGCAAACACTTATGTGCTTTCGTATCTTTACTCACAGGAGTAATCTCACTGGAGAAAATGTTTGCAGGTTTGAGACCTCTGTTATCTCAATCCATTATTTCTTTCCATTAAAAAGTAATCTGTGATTAAAATAAAACATACAATTCTTTACTCTGAAACCCACCCAAAGACAAAGTGTGTTTATCAGACTATGGGTCTGCACATTGTCATTCTCAAATTGCACTTCAATAAAAAAGATAATTAACAAATGTAAAAGAAGGCAGACTCGTACGAGGTTGCCCTGTATTTACCAGAGTTTCGTTTTGGATCACAGGCTGATGGATTTACAGCTGGTTCAGAGGAGGGAGGTGAAATAGCTGCACTTCTCTGGAAAATCTGATGCAGAGAGTTTTTTAAATGCAGTTTCTTTAACTAGGCATCATGTGAATAGCACAGATTTCTTACCCTTGCTGAAGACATGTAGCCATGTCCCCCACCCAACAGAAGGGATTTCTGCTGAGGAAGCTCTGGCTTGTTTGGTTTTGTCAGGCTGCTGCATACATATAATAAAAACCTAACCCAACTCTCATCTGTCACGCAGGTCACAGGCCTTTCCAGTGCAGATACTGCCCATACAGTGCCTCTCAGAAGGGAAATCTGAAGACCCATGTTCTCTGTGTCCATCGCATGCCTTTTGACAACAGCCAGTATCCTGACCGCAGGTTCAAGCGCTCCAGAATTGACTCCGAAGCTTCTGGGAATTTGGAGGAACTTGCAGCTGTCAAGCCGGGGAGCTCAGCAGAGCTAAAGGAGGAGGGCAGCAAGGTCCAGGAGTGATGCAGCTCGGTGGGTCCATCTCCACACTGCAGTAACCTTTTATACTGAGTTTAGGTCTGCATTTGGGTGAGGGTTGGCTAACTGCCTCCCATGCAAATGAGCAGCGTGCAAATTCCCAGAAGTGTACAGGATGCTGAAAACAGTCAAATATATGTATATATATGTACACACACAGGTGGGTGCATATATGTATATTTACACACACAGATATCCAGTCATACACTCTTTGAATATACGTCTACATGCACACACACACAAATACATACATTCCATATGTGTGTGTGTTTGAATATATGTATTACACATGCAAAATAAATTTCCAGCCCTTGAAAATGGCTGCTAAACAGTTACCTGGCAACAAGTACTTCCAAACAATGTAGGTGGGATAATAAAGTGATTTAAAAATGTTAGGAGGTCGTTAGTTATTGAAAAAGCAGGGCAATTTCAGACTTTGAAGAGGTCTTTGACCAAAAATAATGCTCTTAACAGAAAAACAATACCGTCTCAACAATTTAGTGTTGCCTTGAAGATTGAGGGGCTGCGTTTTCATTGTTGAAAACACCTTTATAATATGACACCAGCTGCTGTCATTTGCCTAGCATAGTAATGAGATGTCTTGGTAGACTGCCATGGTGCCAGTCTGACTGGAGCTGTCATTGCAGAAAAAATCAATTCAAGTGGTGTTGCAACTGCAGTGTAGGAGAAACCTTAGACGGCCCATAAACTAGGGTCAGTACTGACCTATATTTAAAAGTATTGTGATATTACATTTTCTTTTTTTTTTTTTTTTTAATATACAGCCAAATGAATCAGTGGTTAGAAAATAAAAAATCTGCAGCCTGATGTGTCACTGCAGAGTTGAAATGTAATTCCATCTTTTGTAATCATCTTGCAGTATTGAGGGAAATGCTTTTATTCTTTTGTTTGGTTTTTTTTTTCATGTTGGTGAAGAAGTAAGTTACTATACAAGTAGAAGTACAATATATAGAAATATTGTTTAGTGAAACTAATCACCCCTATCTGTAGAAGAAACTGGTGAGAAACATAATTTTATTTCATAGGAGGCTGGTAAATTCTTTTTCTTCTTCTTGTTGGTTAATTTCAAACTTCTCTTAAATTCACTTTTGGTTTTTTTACACTTGAATGAAAGATTCCTCCGTCATGGTTAATTTTCATGTGTTAGTTTTTGTAAGTGTTACAGACATAGTGCAGAAGTTTCTTCTGGAGCAAGCTCTTATAAAGCAGCTTCACCTAAAATATGAATCCAAACTTCCTGCTCTTTGTCTCTAATGAAGGAAAGTGTGCTAGCCAATATTTCTTTGGTTTTGTAAAACAAATGCGTTCTCTATTTTTGCAGATTTTAGCTTTTTTACTGATTGGATGCTCCAAATTTAGGAAGGTCTTTGTCACATAGAAAGCTTTTGAGAGACTATAATGAACCACATACTTAAAACGTAATAATAATTTAAAAAGTAAGAATAATAACTAAAGATTTATTCTGAAGTTCTCTGACTGGCCTGAAATGTTAGCCTTCTAGTGTACTTCCTTTGATAGTAGCAAAATTGGTGCTGTTTATTGTGATAGTAGAGAAGTATTAACTTCTTCTAAAACAGTTATCCAGGCTTTAAAAGAAATAAAGGGGAATAAAAAAAAAAAAAAGGAAAAAGAAAAAAAAAAGTCAATATTTCTTTGCAGGCTGGGAGCACAGAGTAAAACCCCAGGGCCTTAAAACTTCAGCTCTGCCGAAAGCAGTTTACAAAAAATACTAAACTGCAATCAATGTAAATAAAATCCTTAGCGCTACCCTGAGACTGGAAAAAAGGAATCTCAGGCTAATAAGGAATACGGTTTGCATATGCTGTCGGAAAGGATGTCATCCAACTGAAGTTTCAGTTTAAATGAGGTCACCATGTAACTTGGACCCATCTGGCACAGAGCAAGCTGCTTTTCTTGTTTTTCTAGTATAGTTCTCACTGCCTTACTTAAATCGAGCTGATAAACCTAATGCAACTGTTTCTATGATCCTAGATAAAGGATTGAAATGTTATTGGAACTTTCTGACTGTAGTAAGCTTTAGGATTTTAACTGCACTACTGTGTTTGGTGACTGTGTCAGTCGCTTGCTTTTGTGTGTTTGCGCCGCCTTCAGTATCTTAGCAAAATAAAAAAAAAAAAAAAGAAAAAAAAAGCTTAAACTGCCCCCCACATTCCATTTCTTGCACTTTTTGAGCTTTTTTCAGTATTCTTTTGTGTCTTCTGAGCATTTTCAAATACGACAGGCAATAATTCTGTTTGTGACACTGGAAACATCTCTCGCTCCTTGTGATGTGCGTGTTGATTCCATTTGGTCAGGTGCTACTGTCCCTATCCTCCCCTCTGACATAGCCCTTTTCTCCAGAACATTTGTAACTTGTAATACAAACAAGTGACAGCAGCAGTGATGCATTGTCAGTTCCTGAATATCATCATGCTTCTCATATCTAAACATGTCAAGTTTTTTCTCTGTAACTTCTGTAGTCTGTGATACTGGTCATAATACTGTCTACATTCCTACACAAAGAAAAATTTCTATCTTGGAGAAATTGGAGATAAATAGAGTAGAGGATTTTGTTGCTATGCCTGTAACAATTAGAAAACTTTGTATTTAAAGTTTATTCTTGGTCATTATTTATTATTATGATACATCAGTTGACAGAACTTTATTCTGGTATAGAAGTATTAAAAGTTGTTTTTTCAGCAATGACTGTTTTGTTTCTGCTGTTAGAATAAAAATGTCTTTGAAGCAGTACAGTTTTACCCAGTGTTTTACGCAATAAAACCTCTACCTCTGAAAAAAAATATGTTTTCCTACTTATGTTTATTAGGAACAGTTAAAACATTATTTTCTGCAGCTTTGTCAGATTAAAAAAAAAAAATGTCAGTAAATCTGCAGTTGTTAGGCTTTTACTGGAGTGTGTTATGCTGGGTGTATGTGCTCAGTCCACTTATTAATTTGAACAAATCTATATACAGTATATGCATATATATATTATATATATTGTGCTGAATTAAAAGACTGTGGAAATCTGTTTTAGCATGTAGTAATAATTGTTTTATATACCACTACTTATGTACTATAGAAAAAAATCTTGGGGATCTATCAAGCTTTGATTTTAACGTGTTTGAAGTGTGTATCATACACTATGATGTATAAAGTCATGTTTTCACATTAAAAAAGTTTGTTTGTATAGGGCATATATTTGCCTTTAGAAAATTGTAAGGTTTATTGTTATGGTGCATGTTAAGAAAGGTGCCCACACTTCAAGCATGTGCAGGTGCACTCCCATTCTCCTGGGTTAATCTTCATTCTTCTTGGTTAAGGTTTTTTTGCACATTTGAAAGCAACTAAATTAAAAGATTTTTCAATTCTGAGAAAAAGTAGGTGATTAACATAAAAAAAAAAAAAAAAGACAGATGCGCCAAATCTGAGAAACTACAGAACGTATGTGGAGGAGAGGCCTTGCAAACAAGCTGGCAAGGAAAACATTTAGAAAAGGGAAAATTTTGCATTCGATGAAGCCAGTCGTACCCACAGTAATAAAGTCATGCAATAGCTTCAATTGTCCAGTAGCAAAAGGTACCAAAATTGTCTAGAAGAGTTAAGAATTAAAGAATAGCATTGTGGAAATTCAGTTTTTCAGTGGCAGAAAGTTGCAATGAGGAGTTAATGTTACCTGTGAATGAGGCAGGTTGAATGTCAGAGGTGGTGCCAATTCACTGCAGTGGAGGCAGAGGCCACAGGTCTCCATCTGCAGAGAATAAAATGTGTAATGCATCAAGTTTTAATCAAAACCCAAGAAGTTAATGACCAACTTTTATTTTTTTGCAAAGTTTAGCTCTTTCACACCCTCTCTTCTGGAGAACCACTCTTCCTAGGCACAGAATCGTATCATGTAAAGTTGCTCAAGAATGGATGGGCTCCAGATGTACAGCTGAACACTGGCCTCACTATGGTATTGTCAGCCTTTCAGGTAATCCCTGTGTCCTGCAGCCAGTGAAAAAACCTGTTTGAGGTGAGCAGGAGCAGTTCTCCCAAAGATATTCCTGCCTCTGGTTTCAGTAGATGATAAATGAAGATGTGAAAGCCTGATTAAGGAGTAAGGCCCATCTCATTTCACCTACCTGGAAATCCTTAGAAACACAGTCTCCTTTGTGGTCCTCAATTTATGTATAAACCAGCCATTAAATGGGGGATATATATATATATATATATATATATATCCTCCAGGTGATGCTAAAAACATCCACCAAGAGACCTTGTAGCACAAAATGTGGCATTGCCAAGCAGCAGTTCATGGGAAGAAAGGTCTGAAAGAGGAATCTGGTTGTCTAGCCCAAGTCCATGTAGGCATTTTGTTATGCAGCTGGTGATTGCATCATCCCAATGTGGATGGTGGGTGTCCTGACATGGGTCTTCCCACCTAACAGCAGAAGGCTGCTATCTGCTCTAGGATGTTTCTTCTTTAAACTTCAGTAAGGACTATAACCCCTCTTCCTATTCTAATTTTGGAATTGAATACCTCCCCTATCTGTCTAACATCTGTATTGTAACAGTATATTATAAAAGCTCACCTTGTGTATTGTAAGCATGCTCCCAGTGAAATTATTCTTAACTACTGTGTTTTTCATTTCTGGATATCACTTCTTGGCATGATCCACCATGCTGGAAGTATGTCTCTGTGGGGAGGCCTGGGGAGGGGGAGGAGGAGGGAAGGTAAAGCTGTGGCGTAATGTCATATTAAAAATGTCACCCAGCTGAGTGTAATAGGGGCTGTGAGAAGTTCTGCAGCTCCTCACCTGTTGTGTTGCTCAAGGCATCATTTGGGGGGTTTTTGTTGTGGGGTGGTTTTTTTTGGTTTTTTTTTTTTTTTTTTTTTTTTTTTTTTTATATTTTAACCAAAGGGTCTCAGTGAACAGGGAAATCACAAGAAAAGAGGAAGAATAATATTTAAATGATCCCAGAGTGAACTGTTTTGCTGTTAATACAGAAATACAGAGCAAGACACATTTAATGGGCTCTATTTTTATTATACTATGCTGAATAATTAAGTTTGAGGCTAAGTGTCACATAGATTTATCTTTTAATTAAAAAAGCATGGTTCACGCGTATTTGAGTGGTAGTCCAAATAAATGCAATATAGAAATTTATGTTTGTTTATCTAGGTGTTAATTACCTAGAGATTGTTCTGGATTACTTCTTTTTATAAAGTGTCATAGGCTCATGTCACAAGTAATAAAGCTTAACAGTGGAACCTTATCAATTTGCTAACTATAACGCTAGTGTGACCTGGAGGAAAGGGAAAAAACCAACTTTGGAAAACGTTCTCTGTGTGCACCCCATTCAGCACATAAAACCCGTGTGGTGAACAAAGCAATCATTTTAAAAATGTTCTTGTAAGTAAAAGTACAAATATATCTTCAGTGTTTTACAGCCTTTCATACATGTAATTATTTATATAGCACACTGTTATTTATGCCCATGTACTACATGTTGTGCAAAGACAGACATGGTAAGCAACAAAATGTAGTTTACCTGGTGGGTGAGCTATTCATCTGAAGTATGAAGTAACACTTGCAAAGACTGAACACTATATTTAAAGTGAGATGAAACAGATGTAATTTTCTTAATATTTTAAAGGTTTTACAGCATTGCTAACAACCAAGGGGATGGGAAAAGCAAACTGAAGTCTAAAAAGAAAAGATCGTGCATTTCACTGGTGGAAACAGAGGGAAAGACTCTGTACAGGCACAA